TACCGTCCTTGCATTCTCCAGAACTCCACAACGAGCATATAGATCCACAAGAGAGCTTGCAATAGATCCCTCTAAAGTAAAGCCTTTCCGTATTAAAAAACCATGAAGTTCTTTCCCCTTCTTTAAGGCAGATAAGCTAGCAGCAACTGAGCACATGCTCACTAAAGCCACAGAATCAAGCTCGATACCAGTTTCCTTCATGGAGTAAAAGAGCTCTAGAGCTTCATTTGCAAGACCTACGCAGACATGAGAAGATATTAAGCTTGTCCAAGATACTACATCTTTACATTCAATCAATTCAAACATCCGAGTTGCATAATCTATGTTCCCACACTCCCCATATATATCAACAATTGTGTTCTGCAGAACAAGATCAAATGAACCTCTTCTTAAGATGTAACAATGAATTTCTTTCACTTTGGGCAAATATCGCAGTCCACTACAAGCCAGCAGGACACTCCCAATCATCATGACATCCACCTCCATCCCTCGTACCTGCACTTCATGAAATAATTCTAGTGCTTCTTTATGGCAATTGTTCTGAGCATAGCCGGCAATAATTGTTGCCCAAGAAACAAAATCTCTATCAGCCATGACATTAAAAGCACGTACCATGTAATCTATGTAATGACACTTAGCATACATATCTATAAGAGAACTCCCTACCTGCAAAGTGGAATAAAAACCATTTCTTATCGCATAAGCATGCATTTCCCTTCCATTCAGTAGCTTACCGAGTCGCCCACAAGCTGCAATGATACTTATTACTGAAACCTCATCTGGTTTTTGACCAGCATCCAGCATTTCACAAAATAATTCCATACCTTCATTATACAAACCATTTTGAACAAAACCCGCAATCATAGAATTCCATGACACATTATCCTTCTCATTTAGATCATCAAAAATCCTTGCAGCCTTAACCGTTCTACCACACCTCAAGTACAAAGCAATCAAGGCATTATAAACATAAACATTTTGAAAATCATTTAACTTCAAAACGGTGGCATGGATCTCCATACCAAGCTTCATATAAGAAGAATCCTCAC